TCTTCTTCGAAGGCCTTCCTTAGGGAGTCACACAACGCTCCGTGACGACGTTGTGTGACACCCGAAAGAGGGGCTGCGAAGGACATGACTGGTCGGTTTCAAGGTTAGAGAATGGATGAAGTTAGAGATGAAAGGGAAAGACATTACAGAGAAGCGAGACAACAAATGTTTCTCCAGCTGTCGGATGTTTGCAATTCTGATATCAAATGTAAAGCAACAGACCCCTGACAATCCAGAAAGTGAATGCAACTAGCTATGAAATCAATACTTACGCCCGGTCCTTTGGATCCCTAAGAATGAAACGAACAGAATGTTAGAATCACTGCGAGGAGCTAGTTATTCAAACGTGTTATCTTTCCCCTAAGGTGAACTATTCTATTCTATCACTGGGTGGAAAAATTAACACGAGTGTTAAAAACTCTGGGGCTAGTTCGGAGGATTTTAACACACTTAGACGCCATCTATTTTTCCTGACTTCATTCCTGTATGCATTAATAAAAGATTAATTCAATCGATAACCCAGAAAAAATACCACAATTATCACGTCAAGAGAATCTACTTCTTTCGCCTGAATATTTTTTCTTCGAGTTAAAGGGGACAATAAACAATTAAAATAACAAAACTTACGCTTGCTCCAGCTCTGCCCTGTTTCACAAAAGACAAAAGAAAGAAAAAAATTGAGATGTTCCTAAAGTAAGCCAAAATGGCAAGTTACGAAAGCTGCACGTTTTAGAAAAAAAAAAAAAAGGGCAGGACTAAACAACAGAAATGAATTGAAATGAAAAACAATCAACAGGGCAATTTCTATGGAGCATGTTGGGGAACCATCCTCAAGCAGTACGAAAATCAATGCATAACTTTACCTGCGAGAGAGGGGACGGGGATCAAATGGATAGGGTAGGGTGGGGTAAGTTAGGAGAGGTAAAGAACAGGATAAGATCTGTCCAGATTTTGTTTATGGCTTTACCTGTACACCTTGGACACCAGCGGCACCAGGAGGCCCAACTTCACCTTTAACACCCTGAAAAAAATAAAACGTACACAGAACACAATCAACAGACAACAACACAGGATAATAACTATGGTAGAAGTCAGACGAATAAGCAGTCCCAGGTATGCGCAGTGACTTAGGGAGGACACAAAAATTCAAAGAATTTATAAACGTTTTCTACACTGTTTCCATATTTTTTTTTTTTTTTTTTTTTTTGGGTGGAGAGCACTTACCCTCGGCCCTTTTGGTCCTCTCGTTCCTCTTGATCCTTCCTCTCCTATTTCGCCCTAAACGAAGATAAACTTATTTAGAGCTGACAACAAAGATTTTCAGGACCTACACCTGTATGATTCGAGCCATTTTTAGCGCAAGAGAGGATCGGCTTTAACAACAATCAACTTTTCAAACAATCGTTTGCTACTACAGACAAACAACAACAGGGCAAAAGTAAGAGAAAAATAAACAGAGGGAAGAAAATGGTTAACCCTTACACTCCCAGAAGTGATTAAAATGTAACTTTTCCTTGAAATGTCCATACAATATCCAGCACACAGCTTATGAGAATCCACAACTTATGAGTTACAAGTTTTTATCTTGATATACTATCAAATTCTCGTAACTAATTTACAAGGAAATATGTAGCGGCCAGAGAGGAGAATTAAAAATGTCTGATCAGATTAACAATGAAGGCGAATGACGGGCTTATCAGACAAGGTTGATTTTGAAGACAAACGAACAGCGACGTGGCTCATTGTAAACATAGTTGGAATTAAGTCTTAGAGTTTAGCAACGATCACAGAACAACAATGACATCGAGAAAATATATTAATATTTATTATCAGTTTGTATAGCGCAGATATCGACTGGGGTGTTTTTATCTGCATCTAAAATGGTAGTTAAATAAAACTATTAGTGAGTGTGTGAGTCAAAAACATTGGTTGGTAGCTGACAGTTTGAAACAAAAATACGCTAGTGATTGACAGCCCCCACAATACCTTTGGTCCTTTAGTTCCAGGGACGCCAACGGGTCCCATGGGGCCTCGATTTCCCTGAAGACAGACAACATAGAAAATCAAACTAGTCAACATGACCAGACATGAAATCAGTTTCGGGAACTGCCATCCAGTTTACAAAAGTAGTGATTTACGCCTTGTGTGCTTGCGGTTAGCTTTGAATTCCACCGTTTGCGACTGGTCGATTCACCCAGAGCTCTTCTTTACAATAAAACTCGTGCCAGAGATGGTGCACGGCTGATGCAGTGCAAGCACTCGGCTTCTTCAGTTGTGGCCTGGGTTTGATTTCCGTTCCTGACGTCACGTGTGGGCTGAGTTTGTCGTTGGTTCTCGTCATTGCTCTCTAAGTTCTCCGGTCGTCCTCCCTCCGCTAAACCAACGGTCTGAATTTCTTTTCGATCTGGAGACCATGGACAGGTCGAGCCACCCTACAGACGTCTACTGCTAAATATTTATCCGTTATTTTATCTATACTAAGCCATCAGTTGTCCTATCGACCCACCTTGTGCCCTTTGACACCAGTTTCGCCTTGTTGCCCTTGCATACCTTGAGCACCCTGTAATGAAGAAAAAGTTTATTCTTTTTCTACCGAGGTCTTTAATGACTAAAAAGGAAATGATGAATAGCATTCCAAAAGGAGGGAGAGAAAAAACAGCTATCAAATTAGCAGATCTATCAAGATTCCCATTAAATAACTTTCCGGTGGGCACCCCACTTGTCATGTTTCAGACCATACTACGAAAAATTGCTGTAAGAATAATAACTACTAGAATAGAATAGGATAAAAGAAAAAACAAAACAAAAAACAAAACAAAAACAAAACAAAACAAGAGATAAACAGTTGTCTGAAATCATAGCAAACAAGTAAAGGAAGACCTGATTAAGTTTACTTATGCCCATGCAAAAGTTTTCAATTTGCCTTCAACATTGTAACAAAAAGTATCTTTAACCAACTGATCGAGCTAATAGCTGAGAGGAGCATGGACACTTATCACAGACACCTGCTAAACCATCAAAACTGGTCATAAGCACCAAAAAACATTTTTTTGGCAGCATTTACATTTGATAAGTTTCACAACACTTTTCTTTCATCTAAACCATCGCAGTAATAGAACGAAAACACTTTCAACTTCATCAGCAACTTACATCTTTTCCCGTTGAACCTCTCTCGCCATCGCTCCCCTGGGCCCCAGTCTCTCCCTGCCAGTAAAAACAAAAAACAAAAAAAACAAAAACAGGGTACTTAAGGAAGCGCAGGTACCATGAGCCATCATGAGCAATCAATTCTCCGTCAAGATTTTATTTTTTCTGCTGACAGTTCTGCACAGCAAAAAACCCTTGGCTCTGCCTTTGCTATTCACACATTTACAATTGGTAATTATCCTCCAGTCTATATAATTACTGATGCCACTGATATCATGGAGTAACTTAAGTAAAATCTACGATCTAACATAACAGTTTCTGTGTAACCTTTCTTCCAGCAACTCCTTTAGCACCAACGCTTCCCTGAGGTCCTGGAGCACCCTAAAATAAACACAAACATAATTGCTTACAATTGTAAAATTCGATCAACCTTACAGGGAATAACGTCTTCATTTTAACGGATGGCCGACCTCACTGGTACAAAACGTCAAGACCAGTCTGTTAAGTGATAATGCTTCCCCATTATTTCTTAAAAGTGACCCAGTTTAGGCAAAAAGGCACTGCATTTGGTGTCACATGGTGCTGTTCAGTCGTCCTATTCATGATCTATGCACGGACTAGTTTGCTCAAAATTTGGAATAAACGAAAGCTTTCATACTAAACCCACAACACTAAATAAAATGTTTTGCGGGTGATACTTGGTCCTTTGTTCTTTTTTCAGGGAAGTGGCATCACCTAAAAGACAGTCTAAACTCTGATTCAGAATAAGACAAGATCTCTTCGTTTAACTGTTGAAACTGCCATAGACTTTGGCATAGAGACCATGTCTCGCATATTTAAAGCCATTATTTAATTCAAATTTGCCACAAAAGTTGTCAGTACATGTATACTTCAAAGGTAAACTGCGCATCGTAAATCATTACTCCCTATTAAAACTACAAGTCAAGAGAGACACTCTTGCTTGAAAGGCCAATTAAATTCATGTTGGGCGTAGTGTATCCGTTCACACCATAAGGGACTGCTCCCTCCGAGGAAGAGGACCATCAAAACAAATAACTCCCTTCTGTCGTCATTTGATACTTACCCCTTGACCGGGGGCACCAGCAACTCCTGCAGTTCCTGTAGCTCCAATATTACCCTACACATCAGTCAAAAACAGCAGCACTTTCAACATTTGATTAAGATATATAATAACTGCTACCCGTTGTAATACTACGGCCAAATGTATGACTGTAAGGGACACAAAATAAATAATAACAACAATATTAACAGGCCCCCTTGAACTGGGCCAGCCTGTTTAAATATCGCCACTAAATGAATAAATAATAATAGTTATCAAAGTCGCCCATTAAGATTCAAACCGGAGACACTCGGATTCCGCGGTCCGACTATCACTACGCCATAGTGGACTCTCCCAAGATTGATTTTAAAATATTGATATAACACTACATTCTCTCAGCTGCCCTAGAAGGAAATATAAAGCTGCCAGTAGGGAGAATTACTACTGAACCAGACCCTGGAAGTAAGATGGTTAAGCACCTGCTATAGAAACCAAAATTCCTGCTACGAAATTGAGCTTCTTACCTTTTCTCCTTTTGCACCTTGAAGTCCTGGGGAACCCCGCGGACCGATGACACCCTGAAACGCAAATTATTGAACCCAACTTTCGTTCATTTCATAATGCAATGGTCACTTGGTGAACATTTTACATTGAGAGTGTAACGAGTAAATGTGTATCCTAATTGCAACTTGTCCACAACATGGGGACATGAGCTGAGTAAAAGATACAAGAAGGTTGACGTAAAGCCATCGAGATAGCCTGAAGTGTAGACATCTCATTAGGGCGATTTAACGTGGAGAAGCTTGCGATCGTTTATTCATACGAGCATGTTGAGGCGACGGTGAGGGAAGAGGGTGGGGAAAGGCGTAAAAGTAATATTCACTCGCCCACCCCCACCTCTCTCCTTATTTTTGACCGTCGCTCACCCCTTTGGTAAAAATTCCTTTCTCTTCCCAGCCTCCTGCTGCCATTAAAATCAAATTATGTTACCAGAGAGTATTTCACGTGTCAAACAGTGTACAACCTCTTTCTCCAACTGTGGTAATATGCTTTTCCAAAGTAGTGAAGGTTGAAGAGTAATACTACACGATCGTTTGGCTGTATGGACTGTGCATCACAGAGTCCTAACACTACACCCCTAAATACATCCAGTAGTAACTGTTGAAATTGATAATCAGTCTTTTCACATACCGCCCGACCATTAGAGCCTGGTGGTCCTGTGGCTCCTTTTACTCCTTGAGGTCCCTGCGAAATTAGAAGTCACACATCATTTCGCATGAAAGTTGGTGAGGGAAAAACCCAAATCATCTTGCACACGTAGAAACCGAGAACGCATAATCTAACTGTCTTCGTATAAATTTACCAGTCGTTCAGTATTTGACAACACCGGTGCATGTTCGTATTTCATGTTTATAACCGCACTCAATGAACTTTACTTAATATCTATTATATGGCGTGTAGCGACGGCAATCAGACTGCAGCATTTGTGATAGAACGCTTACAAGATATAGAGCTGTTTCGAGAAAGGTTGTCGGAGAAAGTGCACGCAACAATCTTCAAAGGTCATTTGGGTATCTGGTAATCAATAAATTCTAATAAGTGAAATGACTAAGCATATACATCAACCCTGCGATGCTTTGTCCTTACAGTGACGTTTCCTCAGATTTCTCTGAAATCCGCCGATGTGAAGGAACCATGACCTGAAAACTACCCACTATACCTTTCAGCCTCATCATGGGTGTTTAAATGCATTTTTTCCGACAACCTTTCCAAAAACAGCTGTAGGCTAATACGCTGTTGTGCTTTGTGCCCTAATTACATTTTCGGTTACTTACAGGAAGGCCAGAGGCTCCATCAACGCCATCTCTACCAGCAGGGCCAGGATCTCCCTGTTGAAATGAGACACCAGTGTCACTTGATTGTTACAGGAATTGCCTTGGTCAGTATCAAAGGAAATGTATAGAGAACAGTTCGGAGAATGTAGAGGGTTAAGGAAATGGCATCCGGGAAACAGCAGTGATTTCCAACTGTAAAATGTCCATGTGATTTACAAACACCAACATCTACTCGACAGTCCTCAGTCACTTGTTGCATTTTTTCATTTGATTAATTACTTTCAAACAATCAAAGAATCACACTTAGAAGGATCACAACATGAAAAGAAAAACGAAAAAAAAACCAAAACAAAACAAAACAAAAAAAACCAGTGCACCGGTGACTGGCATCTAGTTTCTCTGTCTAACATCAACTCTGAGTCAAACATCAAGTTCATGAGAATAAAGGGCATGATCACCAACTAAAGAAGCTCTTGATTGTTAAACAAATTCTCCTTGTCAGCTACTTGCAAAACATATGAACAAGGGTATGGAGAATATGCATGCTGATGTTAGGGTGCAGAGAGTTAATGCTGGGCTTTACAAATTCAAACCTTCCACGAACGTCAACAGGTGAAAAGGTTGAATTATCTATAAGAGACGATTCATTTTTTCCTCAGTGCTTCTGACATATAAGATATCATTTTACCGCTTGGCCAACAGGCCCCGCTGCACCCACGCCGCCTTGCATACCAGGATAGCCCTTCAAAGAAATATAAAGTAAGAAAGAGCTTTCAGAGTATATTCATCACACAATTTGAGCTAGGAAATCCCGCTAATAATCCCTGTTTGATAAACCAAACAGTTTAAATAGTAGACCTATAATCTGGGTTCCGGTACTTAAATAAAACACAAACATGTTTCTACAACTGAATGCACCACAACAATATGTAAAAAAATAAATCTGTTTGGTTAATCGTGGTTGGTCAGCTGTTATTTGTCTGTTCATTTTGCTTAGAATGGTGAAAGTCAAAGCGTGAAAATGATTCCTCAAAACGGACAAGAGACATGGTCATACCGCCTCTCCTTTGCTTCCTTGTGCTCCCTGGGAACCAACTGCACCTGGTGGACCCTACAGAAAAATAACAGGTCAGGGTTCGATTGTAACAAAGGTGGTTCAGCCTTTGAGGTCACAGGGCCCATAACTGCCCGCGCTTACTCCTATTTCCATGGCATGAAGCGACAAAGAGAGAAAAGTCTGTACTCGAGCCTACTGGAGTACATCCCAATTTCCATAGCATGAAGCAACTAGACGTATTATCATTCCTCCTACAATGGGATGCTAGTCCATCACAAGCTTACCGCCAGCGTGTCATCAAGATTCCCTCAAAATTCACCAGTACCCATCTATACTCCTGGGTGGAGAGAGGCACTGTGAGAGTAAACTGTTTTGCCCAGAACACAGGACACACTGACCCGGCCAGGTCTCGAACCCAGACTCCTTGACCCAGAGTCCAGCACACCGACCACTAGGCCACTGTGTCTCCCATGAAGTGACATGGAGTGTGTCCATCTAATCCTGAACAGGACACTGACCACCTTCCTTCCCCATACCATAGTACAATGACTCGCGTAAGACTCGAAATAAAGTCTTTGGTGATCGCCACCATGTCACTGCGTATCCCCATAGCGTTGAAGGCACCTGGTGATTGGCTACTCAAACTCCGAATATTCTTTGCAATTCACCTCCGAACAACTCGTCACAGGAATAAATGAGTTCAAATTATCTTTTTTGTAGTATATTATCCCACTGTTTTTGTATACACTAAAAAACCCATTCATCTAAGTGTCGGTGGCTGGCAGTAGATATTTACTGCTTCGCGGCTTCATAAATATCCACCAATAGCCACCAACATTGAGGTGAATAGTAGCCTAATTATCCTTTAATACTCACCATCTGTCCCTGTTGTCCTTTTATTCCAGGCTGACCGGGTACACCATCTCGACCCTGGAAGATAAAAAAACCCACACTTTACATTAAACAAATAATAATTTTCCCAGCAAGTATACCTGAGCATAAAAGGTACAAATAGATCTTTTACTGAATCGCTTCCTTCCTGTCACATCACCTGTTAATTATAAATTACTTTCTCATCTCATTGCAATGCCATTTCCTAAGACCTTTTTTTCACACCACAACACATTCTGCCTTTTAGGATATTCCGTCATTCTGTTTGGGATATTCCGCTATTCCACCGTTCCTCCATTCTACCGTTCCACCATTAGGAGGCAGTAGCCACAAAAATGAGTGGTGCAATTTCACATGTTATCCTACACTTATAATCACTGAATGCATGTAGTTCGTTAAGCCTTTAAAACTGTTAATACTTTAAACCTACAGTATTTCCAGGCGGCCCATCCTCTCCAGATGGTCCTTTCTCTCCGGCCTCTCCCTACGAAGAATAACCAAAGAAGAAACTACGATGAAGAACCAACACATATTGGAAGGGGAAAATGTTACAATAGGCTCAAAAGAGGCCCAGCTTCAAGAATCACCTTTGCCTCAACATCAAACGAAGCTCAAGCCTTGTACAAGTATTTTAGTACACTTCTGCAAAAGCATGCGCAAATAACGCATCCTTCATGCTGTACAGTCCTTTTTTTCCCCTCTCCCCTTATATCTTATCTTTGCTATCAAAATGTCTTAGGGGAGAAGGGGTGGGAGAAGCACTTGGTCATTTTCAAAACACAAATACCAAGGTTACGTGTATCAAAAATATCAAGGAGAATGGAAACTAACCCTCCTACATGTGTGTGTGTACTTTTTGAAAATTTCACTGAAAGCTGTACTCAGGATCATTATTGACACCAAGTGCACAGCTCTCAGGAACCCAACAATGTTCTTGTTAAACTAGTTCTGTATTTCAATATAAGTAGAAAAATAAACTGTACTTACTTTTGGACCATCAAGACCGTCGCTGCCTGTGGAACCTTTCGGTCCACGAGGTCCCTAGTGAAAAAATGAAGTGATGAAAAACAAAATAGGAGAAATATCCTCTAAAAACCTTAAGGTGGCTCAATAGGGTTTTTTGGCCGGGCGAAGAATGAGTATGAAAATGGCGCAAGCTTTTAAATGGCATCAAATATGTAAACAAACATGGCGGCTTCACGCAAGTCCACAATTTTTGTTACATAATCACGAAGTTTACTGAACAAGGGTGAAACGGCATCGCTACTTTCCAGTAATGAGAACAATATTGACAATGAAAGACCAGAAGTTTACACAACGCCTACACAACATCTACACAACATCCGTAATGCATCAGGTCACTTTCGGAAAGTGGAAGCGATCGAAACCAGAAAAGAAACAAAAATAAAAAGGTTACACGAAGGGTTCAAATGTGGAATGCCAAAAGGAAGCTCCAGTATGATAACATATCCAAGGAAAACAAACCCCCAGCAAAACGAATGACACGAGCACGTGAGGTCAGTACATTTTTCTTTATTCTGAAGTCTTCATTTTTGGTAAGATTTTCCTGCCAAGCTTGTCCTAATTATTGGCCTACCTGTTCTTTTGACTCCAACCCTGATTCCCATCAGCAGAATAAAGCTAAGAGGAACCTGCCACAAGGATCCAGACTGGTGGACTTAGAAACCCTTACAGATGGTCTGAAGGAATGCTCGTTTTGTCATTGCGGTAAATTCTCACTATTTTTAACTGCACTTTAGCATATTTTTTAGGTTACCGGTACATTCCTCAAACTCTAGCATCACTTAACATAGAGCCAGGTCTTTTCTGTGTAGACCATAATACGAAAATGGATAAGAAAAGTTCGAAGGACAAACAAAGGAAATCAACAGTTGCATTCAAGCGACGTCGATCACAATTACACAAACACCAGATTTCAGAAACCTCGAGAAACGAGGGAAAAGAAGGTACCATGTATGAAAGTGGCATTGGCCTGAACCTAAACTCTTC